ATAATTTTTTTTTCAAAAAAAGTTTTTAAATTTAACCCTATTAACAAAAAATGCATCTCTAATTGTTTATTTTCAAAAAAATCCTTCAAATTTTTTATTTTTTTTTCAAAAAAAATCCTTAAATTTAACCCTATTAACAAAAAAGGCATCTCTAATTGTTTATTTTCAAAAAAATCCTCTAAATTTTCAGAAAATACCTGAAAACCGGCATTAGCCGGAAACAAGGTTTTTTTGCAAGTATTCACTTTTTTCTGAGCTAAATTGCAAAAAAATAAATAAATAAATAAAAAATAAAAAAATAAAAAAATAAAAAATTGATGACTTATACGTCAATAGAACCAAATTTCAGAAACGTTACTGCAAATTTACCTATTTAAAAAATGGATAGATGAAAAGTATAAATCCAGAAATTTAAAACTATCATGATGTACTTTAGGTAAACTAAAATGTGACACAAACAGTATAATTTTAGAAAATTAAAATTATAGAAACTAAATGCAAATTGCTTATTTCCGGCGATTTAAAAAGTATATAAACCGTTGATTCATTTTATTTATATTGATAAAGACGTGTAACGTTGTTCGATAAACAGGTCTATCAAACCAAAAAGGAAAATACTGATATTTAAAAATTTTAAACAAAAATATTTGAGGAAAGAGAGAGGGAGCCACGGGCCAGAGGGACGTTCGGTGACCTATTTATGTTTTATGGTTCCGTGCTTCGTCTCAAGTCTCAACAACGTGCAACAGATCTCCCTTTCTCTCTCTCTCTCTCTCTCATTTACATCTCTCTTCCATTTTCCTTTTCCCTCTTTGAAATCGGACTCAAACCTCAAGGAATTGTGCCTGGGACGTTATCAATCGAAGAAATTCAACCCATATTACTATTAAAATCATCTAAGATTTGTATAATAAACTCATTTGTTTGAATTTTTTCCTCCAAGAAACCAGAGGATTTGTATAAACCAAACATCAACGATGGATGGTATCTATTTAAAGACAGGGTTTATTGGGATCACGACTCCGATCACCGCAGCCGGCGAGATTCGTAAAAACACAACTCAAATTACTACCTCCGCCGTCAGCCGGACGACGGCAAATGCGATTTCATCGGAGAAACCTTCAGTGTCAGGTTCCTCTGCTCCTCGGACAACAGGGCCGTGGGGTTTTTCTTTGAAATTCCCTCTCCCTTCTTTGTTTGTCGGTAACCGAAACCGGTACGATGCGTTGGCCGTCGACGACGCCGTTTCTGTCGATAGAAACGAAGAAACGAAGGAAGAAAGCGAGAGTAACAAGGAAAACGAGAATTGGGTGTTGAAGATTCTCCATGTGAGGTCTATTTGGAATGAAAGGAAGGATGGTTTGATTGAAGAGGAAGATCGAGAAGGTAGAAATCCTTTGGATCATCAAGACGAGGTTCCTTTAGATGATGCAGAAGAGTGTGATGCATGTAGCGTTGATGATTACGATGACGCCCAAATCGAATTCGATAAGGCTTCGTTTTCAAAACTTCTTAGAAGGGTTTCTCTTGCTGAAGCACGGTTGTATTCTCAAATGTCCTATTTGGGGAGTTTAGCTTACTCCATACCTCAAATCAAGGTACCCATTTCGTGTCTATCCTCAATATTTCATTTTGTTTCATTATTATAGAAATGTACGTAGATGGTCCTGTTTGTTGGAATTGTGTGGCGATTCTTTAGAAACTGTAGAGGATGTTCAGATCTAGACCTTTTTCATAAGTAATTGCAGCAATGTAGGTTATTTGTTATAGTTTCGATGGTTGATCCGTATCGTTTTTTTTTTTTTTCAGCCTGGGAATCTCCTAAAACATTATAGACTCCGTTTTGTTACTTCATCCCTAGAAAAGAAAGCCCAGTTGGCTGCAAAAGCAGAGAAAGAGAAGGCTTTAGACGGGGTGGTTCAGGAAGGAGAAGATGACGCCAAAAAGAAAGAAGATCAGACCTCGAAAGCTGATGGGGTTGAAGAAGATGACGAAGTAGAACAAACCACAGACACACAAAACAAGGTTGAAAACAAAGAAGATAATCGAGGTGGAAATCTGATAAATCCTTCAATAGCTTATCATATTGCTGCCTCTGCTGCTTCCTACCTACATTCTCAAACAAGAAGCTTTATTCCTTTCACCAACAATAAATCAGACAGTGTTGGCATGACGAAAGCAGAGGTTGCTTCATTAATGGCAACCACAGACTCAGTGACTGCTGTAGTTGCTGCTAAAGAAGAAGTGAAACAGGCTGTTGCAGATGATCTGAGCTCTATGCATTCATCGCCTTGTGATTGGTTCATATGTGATGATGAAGGTAGCACCACGAGATACTTTGTGATTCAGGGATCCGAATCACTTGCATCATGGCAAGCTAATCTGCTTTTCGAACCTATTGAATTCGAGTCACTGGATGTAATTGTGCATAGGGGTATTTACGAGGCTGCAAAGGGGATTTATGAGCAAATGCTCCCTGAAGTCCATGATCACCTTCAACGCCATGGTGATAATGCAAAGTTTCGTTTCACAGGGCATTCACTTGGAGGAAGCTTATCTTTGCTTGTGAATCTGATGTTGTTGATAAGAAACCAAGTCCCTCGTTCTTCGTTACTTCCTGTTATAACATTTGGAGCACCTTCAGTTATGTGTGGAGGAGATCGTCTTCTTCATAAACTTGGATTACCAAAAAGTCATCTCCAAGCAATCACTCTGCATCGCGACATTGTACCCCGCGCTTTCTCTTGCAAATATCCGACTCGCGTAGCCGAGCTTCTCAAAGCAGTCAACGGGAATTTCCGGAATCACCCCTGCCTCAATAACCAGGTACAAAAGCAAATCTCTTTGGCTTTCCTCTCCGCTTTTTGTGATTGTTGTTGTTAACAAAGGCATGATGTGATTTTTTTTTTTGTGTGGCAGAATTTATTGTATGCACCGATGGGGGAGTTTTTGATTCTGCAGCCAGATGCGAAACTTTCACCGAGTCATGATCTTCTACCTTCGGGCAGCGGTCTGTACATTTTGAGATCTGATGATGTGAATGTTTTAGAGGCAGAGAAGCAAATGAGGGCTGCCCGGTCTGTGTTTTTGAATACGCCCCACCCGTTAGAGATCTTGAGTGATCGAGCTGCTTACGGGTCTGAAGGGGCAATTCAGAGAGACCATGACATGGTCTCGTATTTGGTGTCGGTTCAGAGTGTCATCCGTCAAGAGCTTAAACGTGTCAGGAAAGTCAGGAGAGAGCACAGGCGGCGTGCTTGGTGGCCCCTGGTGGTGCCACGTGGCGGTATTGATATGGTGCCAGATGGTCAAAATCAGGCCACCAAGCTCAACCTCCTGGGAGGCGAGGCTTTGAAAAGGTTCACGAGTCTGATTGCATCTCAACATATGAACTTGCTTGTCATACTGTTGCTTCCTGCAAGATTGTTGCTTGTGGAGGCAAGTAATGCCATCAGGCTCGGATGATCCGATCCATCCATCCATCCATTTATCCATTTAAGTAAGTAATAATTGTTAGAAGAAAGAATATTCATTTATTGTTTGATATGGATATGGATATGGATGTTTCCCTTTCCCTTGTTATGCACATATCATATCGGAAAGCGTCGATCACAAAAAAGAAAGTAAATATAGTCAGTCATTTTAGATCCCTCAATATGTTGGTATTTTACATTTGTTATTTGTTTGTTCGGTGTGTATTTTATTTTTTATTAAATTTTTATTTCTTGGAAGCTAATATTGAGTGTTTTTGCTTATACGGAAGTAGTATAAGAATAAGGACTTGTGGGAAATAAATATATTATGTATATGATGAGTATATGTTGCGTAGGTGCAAGAAACAGAGTTAGGAGATGTTGAAATTTGGAATCGTGTTAAACGGGAGGGTATGACTAGTGGGTTGGAGTTTTCTGGAGTTATAAATGAAAGGCGAGAGATAATTAAGGTGGACAAAGGTGACAAAATAGAGGTCATAGTCCGGACCCCTTTGATTCATTCCAACAAGCCATCCATCTCCCTTGGCTTGGCATATGTTAGTTGCTCAAATGAGCCGGTTCATGAGTCATTATGGGCCAACTATGGACCCACTTGGGTTAGAAATGCTCAGCTTT